TGTTTTGTTAGGTATTTTTAGTCAGATAGATATTGGATAGATACTTTATGTATTAGAAATGTTTAGTGGAGATAGGATGTCTAGTTAGACTGTTAAATGCTTAGGCATGCTTATGAGTTTCTACAGGGTGCATCTGGTCAGGGATAACTAGAGAGAAGAGTTGATGACTGTCAGCAGACAGGGTGTTTAATATTATTATTATGACGTGTATAACTGTAGTCTTAGCCATAATATGTTCTTATGTTTAAGTCACGACATGTTACTAGAGGTCGTGAGAATGTTTTTAGCTACACACCACTTAATCAACAGACACACACACATTGATTTGCTTCATGTTTTGACTACTGCTATGACCAGCTGCAAAGCTGGTAACAGAGACGTCTCGGTTGACGTTTCTGTGTAGTATGGGGCTAGCCCAACCGAGGTGATATAATGTATAGGCCTGGTGGGTTCAGGGTCTTTCATCTTACATCTGCCTGCGAGCAGTTTGGAGGTGCAAGATACCTGAGCGTGTAATGTTAATTTTACCTGTGATCCTTTGAATAAATCAGCACTGTTTTGAAGTTACTTGGACTGCCTCGTCTCTCAGAGTTAGCAATGGTAAGAAGAACCAAAATAGTTCTACAACACTATAATGAAATGTTTTCTTTTCGTGATGAAGCCATCCAGGAAGCCTCCAGTTTTAATTTCTGGTCACCGTGACTGACATTTCCTAACACTCATTAAGCTTCTCTGGCATATAATTAAGAGCTACGTATACTGTAAGTGTTTGCAGTGGTGTGCACTCTTAAGTTCTATAGAGAAGAAAGGTGAAAGCCACATACCATCAGTCATGTAGAGTAATTATATGAGGATACAGCCCCAAGTAGCTTGACCTTTATCTATTTTTTATTGCTGTTTGACATTTTAGAAATGGAAAATTTGATGGAGGCCTCTAACTACTTTTACCAGTATGAGAAGAGGTTATACTTCTTGTTTTTCCAAAACAAAACTACCAGGAAACACCAGCAGCTTTCAGATAGACCAGGGGTGTTGCTAGACACAAAGCTCTAGTCACCAGGTTGTTTGCTCTAGCTTCAGTTTCCTAAGGTTGGATATCTGAGATCAATTCCTTGTGGTGCAGAGGTCTCATCATCAATGAAGGTCTGGTACAGCATGGTCATCTTCTTCACAGCTCTCCACAATAACTTCTGGGTGCCAGCGTACCACGTCAGTTTCGCTGGCAGGACAGGAAACAGTTTGGTGTTGTGCAGTGCAGTCTATTCACAACATATCTAGTCATCAGAACCATGGTCCTGAGGACAAGAAATGTAGGTTAGTTTAAAAAAATAATGCTGAAATACAGATGAGAGGAAGTGAGAGGTGTTCTGCTTCTGATCCCTCCACTGTTCCCAGCCTAAGGGCACAACACATTAACTGAGCTTTATGCACCTTTATGCAGTTAGGTCTACTCTGTGCATCCTCATCTTGAACTGCAATAGTCACAGCTCTAATCTACCCCTTAAATATGTCAACATCAATTAGACATTAAGCCTCTTAGTAGGATGCTAACGGCATACCATGTCAGCTAATTCACAAAACCAGAGGGATCCTTCTCTGGTTTTGGAAACTGCACAACCATGGCACACAGCTCCAGCTCAGTAGGGTCCATGATCTGGCCTGTATTTGCCTCAACTGTGCCTTATTTCTCTTGGTTCCTGGACATCTTCTGACTACCTCAGTGACTTTTCCAACAAATATACAGATTTAAAGAGGACTCAACAACTGTCCAAACTACCAATAAATTGAAACTTGACTCCTTCACACATTGAGAAGAAGGGGAAGGAGAAAAGGCTCTTATGATGTGAGTCGACTCAGTTGGCCTCGTTCTCTGTAGTGTGGAGAAGCCCTGGCTTCCTTAACCCTAGAACTGACTGTCACAAGACATAACATACTGTAAAGGGCCAAAACTGAAAGAAGCTTGTCACTGTTTAGTCTATCAAGTCTAAGAAGACAGCAAATATTAAATTATGAGAAGCTGAAACTAGAATGAGACTTTCTTGGCACTTTTGCTTACAAAATGAGTTAATTACTCAAGTAACTTTATTGAGTTTCAGAACTACAGCTTAATGCAACAGGCACAAACTGACAACAAAACAATACAAAATAACCACAAAGAGATGCAAAACACCAAGAAGACACAAACGATCCCTTAATCTCAAAAGTCTTCTCTCTTTCTTTATCTTCTTCTCACATGCACACAAAGTTTTCCTCAAGTCACCACTCAGCAAAATAAATTTGTGTTTTATATTAACTGGGTGCCTGAGGTGGTGCAGTTGCACAAGAACAAGAAAGGCAGGGTGAGTCACGTTCCCATCAGCTTGCAGCTGAATAAATATATCTTATTTAACTTAATGTAACAAGCAGTAGGATTCCAGACCTATACCATAAAGAAATCTGCTAAACAAATGAATGAGTGGACTTATTAATCTTTTCTTCTCTTCGGTTCAGGCTCTTTTAAAGAGCGGCTCTCTCTTTATTTACCCGTTGCCATGATGAATCACAATATCAAAGCTCCATTGATGATGGCTTTTTATAGTCACCATGCACAAGCTTAACTCTGAGTTAACTGAACTAACTCTGATAAGAAACAAAAACCGAGTTTCCCATAAACTTCTGAGTTTGGGATAACTCATCTAGACAAGGTGTCCACTGTAGACTTACAATTAATTCATTCCAATTAACTCCTGCTGTACCTTAACCCAGGGAATAAGTAGGTCTCCTGAAGATGAAAAAAGTGAAATGTATCAACAAGTAACACTACAATTTAACATTCATAAAGAACAAAATGTACAATAATAAATTAAACATTTACTTCCAAGAACATTTTTTCTGGGCTAAGCACCAAACACTGTTCTATCCAGGAAAATCATTCGCCCTAATGTGTTACCTAATCCTTTCAGTCGTAGCAGTCAGTCCAAAAGCCCAGTTTCCTTAGGACCCAGATCCTGCAGAGGAAGAAGAAACGCCTGACTCACTATCCTCATCACATCATCCTTCAGCCTCCACCGCTACGATGCTGTATCTCACCTCACAAGCTGCGATCATGTGTTTTAGTCTGTTAGTTTGCGCGCAACACGACGACTCCAAACTTACGGAGAGAGCGTATATGTTTCTACAGAAGCAGAATTTAGGTAAGACCTGATGGTAGAGTGTGTACGGACTGTCGGCGCAGGCAGTGATGCTGACAAACAGTCCAGGGCCCTGTAAGGTGTTCATAGACTTATAGACGTCCTTTTTATACTCTAGAGAGACTTGCTAATGAACCAGGAGAATTTTACCCAGTAAAACCAGTTAAATCATTTGTTTGATCATCAGTACTGGCTTGTGTTTTTCCTCTCAGTCACGCTGGGGAGCGTCCTCGCTGTCCTGCTGGTGCTGATGATTATCATGGCTGTCTGCGTCTACAAACCACTGTCTCGTCGGTGAAACTGGCCAGAAACCTGCAGGAGATAAAGTCACTGGGTCAAATGTGTCTTATTCCCGGTGCAAAGTGATACCTGAACCGAGCACGCCCCGGTGTCACTACCATCACCTCCTGATGGGACCAGGCTGAGGGAAAAGTCGCCACCACTGCCACCTACCGGACAACAAGCATCACTGCAAACATCCAGACTGCTCAAGTAGATGTGAACGGGGGCTTAATTTGTCATGAAATCAGCTTATTTACTGTAAGAATGACTGTACGTTTGGATAATTAACACCTACCTATTTGTGATATGCTGTAATTACTGTAATTGGAAATGACCTATGTAAATAGAGGGACATGACACTGGTATAATGTATTTTCTTAATTCTACAACCACATGGGCTATTACATTGGCCTACATTATTTAAGCTTCACATTTAAAGGAAGTTAAAATTAGATGCATTATATTTGCAGTTATTGCCAAAGGTTTATCATTTGGCAGTGTCTTTGCGGCCTGCATACTTTAAATAAAGTTGGATTACATAGTGAGATAGTTGTCACTACTTAAATAAAAAAGTTTACTAATTTTATTTCCTATAAATGTTGAAATATGCTCATCAAGTTTCTGAAATAAACAGTAGGCCTATTTGCTTTTTATTTTTCCTGGATGTGTAAATCTGTTCAAGGCAATTGAAGGCCCATGGATCATCATCTTCTTCTGTAACAGATTAGTCAGAGTACGGTGGGCAGTTACCTGCTTTTTGTAATAAAGTGGTTAAACTGCACTAAACTTAATGTGCAGAGAACTCATGAAACACTTGACCTGAAAATGTAAACCTACTTTAACTCTTGTTGATAAGAAGCATACATGGTAGAAAAGCATATAAGGTCACCTGTTTAATCAGCTGCCTTTGTAAATAAAGCACATGAACTGAATCACATTCACTCCTCGTGGAAATAAAGTGCTTTTATTTCAGAAACATTTTCAAAATGACATTTCCCTTTCAATTTTAACATGTTAAAAACATTTCAGCTTGAACAGTGCATTACAAAGATCTGCATTGAATCAGCCAAAGCCAGCCTTTTTCTATGGCGACTGTTCAGCAGTTTGGCAAAGTGATCATTACAAGTAGCTTAGCTAAAGCCCTGAAAGTCAAGACGCAGCAATGCAGGGAGACCTTTAATAAAGTGGTTGGGTGTTGATGAGTAGTGGTTAAATGTTACTTGGCATCACCCTGGTACAAATGAACCCCCTTTGTCTTGGTTTTAAGTTACAAAATTCTAAAAAATTGTGTTCAAAAAGTTTCATGTGAGGGGCACCACCCCTCACCATCACTGAGCGTTATCAGAGGAAAGCAATCCATTGGCACACTCTTCAGAAACTACTGCTACAAATGGCAGACATGCTCAATCTGTGAGCCTGTGATGTCTTTCCTTCTGCTCAGAGGTTCAGAGTTGTTGGTGGCTAGAAAAGGCAGACAGCTCTTATAAACCGAAGCCATCTGCAACACTGGCTGTGTCATTTCTTCTAAGCTGCATAGTGACTGTACATCCACAGACAGACTGGTCTCTGCTACTGCAGGTCTGAACTGTGGTGATAATGCTTGAAGTTAGAGCAGGAATATTAAATCCTTGTTGCTGCCAAGGTATTACATTACCATGCAGCTGATTTGAAGTTTCTCTCACAGCAACATGCTTTTTTGTTCCTCTGGAGAGTGCATATTCACAAAGTACAAAGAACTTGCATTTACTTATGAACTTTTGACTCAGTGAGCCTAACAGTCTGAATTGAAGTGGCATAAAGAGATATGTATGAATGACACCATTTTGCTGAGCTACAACTTTTATAACTGGTTAATAAATGAATTCCAAGGTGAAAGAAAACCCATGTAAAACAGGAAACCTGAGATTTCTGTTATTCAGTGAGACTGTAGTCCTCAACAAAGTGACTTCACAGTGAAAACACTTAGATCTGTCCGTTCAGGTCAACAGTAGCCTTGTTTTTTGCTAAACTGTTTTAATTCTAAAATCCAAGGCAACAGGTAAGTGGAAAATTGTAAGAGCAGTTTCCTGGACCTAAAGCGCCACATCTGAGTGTCAACACTATATGAAGTCACCTTGGATAGTGGACAATTTTTGTTCAGAGAACCTTTATTAAACTGATTTGACCCCACACCAGATGACACCGTGATCTGGGTTGCTGCAGAGATTTGGAATTGAAAACAAAAATAAATAAATAAAAATTAGAACCCATGCAAAATGATGTCAGTCTATGAATCGGGCTTGAGGAAGAAGACACGCTATGCTGAGATAGAAATATATAGAGGAGTATGTTCTTATCAGAAATACCTTTTGGAAAATATCAGATACTAGGAGTTTGATTTTGCCTGTGCAAGAACAATTTGTTCTAGGAATAAATCTGCAGTTGCATAGATGACAGTGGTGAGGAAGATAAATTTGAGGTGGTGTGGTTGCTTCTGGATCTGGAAAAGTTGTATTATTATTCCCTATGTTCCTTTTACTTCTCAGTGAGCGATAGCTGCAATATCATCTCCAGCTCCTCTTCCTCCTGCTTCCTCATCCGCTCCTCTTCCTCCTGAGCTCGTGTGGAGAGCTCCATGGCCAGGTGGAGGTCTGACTCAGGGCTAGAGGCAGAGACAGAGCTGGCAGGGCTGGAGGTGTCTCCATATTCCACTAGCACCCCCTCTGGGACACTCCTAGAATGACAGCGACAGTGGAGCGCTAGATCCAACTCTGTTCTGTGGCTTTCACCAACAGGCAGTGAGCATCTACATCCATGGACCACGACTGCTCACTTTACCACATGTAACTATGTAGTTGCTATGCTAGCAACCTAATACTGTGTTCCTACCTGTCACTCTGGCTGCTGGGTATTAAATCAGTGAATTCACCATTGGTGTCATCCCAGCTCCCCTCCTTCAATGACACAAACAAAAAAAGATCTTAAACAACGCAATGAAAAAGGAGCATGAGAAAATGATAAGAACAGAACTGTGTGTGGTGAGGTCATGATTGTTGACCTGGTCTGGGACTCCGTGAGACTCCATGAGGCTCTGATGGATGGCATACTGCAAGAGCTCCTCGTCGTTGTTGGACATGGGCGTGTGGCGGCTGCCTCCTCTGTGGTGGTAACTACCCGGCACCTTGAACACTGAAGGACACACCTGAAACGGAGGTGGTGCTGGATAGATGAAAGCCAAAAGAAAAGCCGATTAGCAATCACAGACATTGCAAACTGTATTTTAATCAAGTAGTTAAACTGGCTGTATTCCTACCTGCAGCTTCTTCATCATCTCCTGATGATGTTGGTGTTGGTGCTGGTGTTGTGTTAACTTGCTCTTCGGTACTGCATTTATTCACATTCCCAAATGTAATCCTGGCATTCAGCACATGAAACAGGGGGATCTCTGCAAGAGAATAACACATACAATATAAAATCAGACAACAAAAGAGGAATTAAAGAGTTCTTTGTTTTTAAGTGGTTTCTATGGAACCCTCAGGAGTACCACAAACCTATTTTCACAGGAAATCCAGGAGGAAACTTCAAGGTTACAAAGTCTCGTAGTCGTGCAAAATGGGAACTGGTCCGGGCCATGAGGTCAATAATAGGGGTCACCTGTTCGACCAGGGACAGGGGATGTTCCTCACTCATCCACAATGTACCTTTGAATCTGTGGGAGACAAGATTACAGATAACCTCATGATACAGATAACACACAGCTATGAGGGATAAAGTGTGAGGGCATTATAATCAAAACGAAACAAAAAAAGTCTTACTTTTGCGTTCGAATGCTCAGTTCAATAGGTCGGCCGATGTCTCTGTTCCCAAGATCAAAGTTGGGATCAAAATATTCCTCTGGAGTGATGGCAGTGGGATTGGTGGCAGTTGCATACTCAAGAGTAAGGTCCTATAAAATCAGGAAATCATATGAAATCAGCTGCCAGGTGGGAACAAAATGCACCATTTTCATCTAAATCCTCAATGCATGTCTTACCCCTTGTGCACTTATGTGCTGCTCTACGGTCCCCAGCAGAGACTCCAGGATGTTCCTCTCACCTTGGAACAAGAACCTCTAACTTCAGTATTCTCATTCAGTATCAGTCAAATAAATAAATACACACACAAACACACATCTTTTCATTCCTCATAAGGATGTTACATCGACTTACATCCATTTCTTGGAGACTAACCCTAACCCTTAACCATAACCGCTACTTGTCCTCACCCTAAACCTAACCAAACCCTAACCTTACACCAAGTTCACACTCTAAGATTTAATGATTTACATGGTGGGGCCCAGCATCTGGTCCACAGTTTGAGTGTGCATACAGGTTTCTGTCCCCACAGTGTGAGTAATACCAGGTGATAACACACAAGTGAACACAGGAAAGTAACACCAAGTATTTTGCACTCACTTTTTATCCGTGTTTTCTCCTCGTCCGTAAGATGCTCCGTCCTTGTCCTGATTACCACATTTACATGGTTCACACTGAAAACCTGAGAAAACAAGCAGAACCTAATGTAAGATCCAATTATAAACAAGCTGCATGTTGTTTAGTGGCCGTACACTTTGGTTTTATAACAGCGGTAATGTATAATTTCTGTGAACCTTTGCTTCAAATCCATTGACCACTTCAGTTTTGTCAGTTCTCCAGCCCCATATCCCAGACTTGATCCTGTGGGAAAAAAGGCAGGTTGTGAAAACACAATCATTATTACAGAGAAAACCCATAATCATATCATTAATTTCAGAATAATTTCTACAACACTGATGGAACACCAGCTAAGTAGCAGTTAAAGAATTTCAATTATTTGCACTAATCTGTGATCCCTCTCTCATTTTAGAGCCTTTAGCAGGGTTGCATTCCACTGTTCAGTTTTGTTTTCAGATATGACATGTTCCCCATAGGCTCAAATCACTATTTGTCTGCTTCATTAAGAAAGATTATGGTGACAGGTCAACATGTGATGAGATTTAAAGCAACTGTAAAAATGCCATGAGATGTCAGTTCTCATTAAATATACCTTCACTGTGGAGTTTGCTTTTGGACAGTCAGAGGAAGTTAGATCTATGCATGTTGTGAGAAAAAAAAGACAATAGGAAAAGCTGCGACTCTTGCCTCTCAAAATCAATATGCTTGGTGTCCAAATAGGTGTTGACAACTGGAGTAGTCAGCCTTTTGGCCACTTCTTGTTCAGCTGGCTGCATTGACTCTAGCGTGACATCCTCCATTTCTTGGACTATGTTAAAGCGTTCAGTGTCCACAATTTGATCATCGTGGCTCACCTCTATTAACTCTGCACATGAATCTGTAAAAATACAGACAGTAGGCTTAATTCATTGTACAGAATTAGTACAAATCAGAGAGAGACCTCAGAAAACTTTTTTTGTGAAGAAGTAGTAGAACACACCGTCTCCTCTGAAGATGTAGCTTCTACGCCCTCTGATCCAGGTCATGTTTTCAAAGCCAAGAAGAGTGGCATCCACTCGTAGGCTAGCACCGCTTTTCCAAATGCGACAAACATCACTTGGACAAACCCGGGAGAGAAGAGGGACTGTGACAAAAATAGCAAATCAGTGTCCCACAATGGAAAGAAATGTATGCACACATGTGAGACATTACTGAACAAATGGTTGATTTGCCATGAGGCAGGTATGCGGTTGTTCCTGTATAACCTGATAAAACGTCTTGGCTGGCAAAGATTTTGCATTTTGTGTGAGCATTTAATCATAAAGTGCTGCATTAGAAAACAGTAACAGAACCACCTGTCCTACGCGATCAAATTACCCTGCATACACAGTCTACTTCACATTTATATTACATATCCCCACACACACACGAGAAAACTTACTCCAACTGGTAAATTCCCACTTCATTTCCATATAGAAGTCTGGAGACTGTGGATGAAAAGATCATGATAATGTGTTAATGTTTCCTGGCACACATACAGCTACAGCTATATGACAAGGCAATGGGAAAATATATCAGAAGTAAAACCTCTCGGATCTTTGACAGCAGCTCAGGCACTCCTCCCAGAGCAGTGGAGGCTTTGAGGTAGTCTCTGCGTTGAAGCACTAACTGAACCATCTCTGGATCTCCAGTGCTGACTGCCTCATGCAGCACTACACAAATACAGCAAGTATACACAAACCACTAAACCTCTTAGAGCAACAGCATCTGACTGTCAGCAGCAGTAACCACCCATTAAAAAAAAAATAATAATAAAAAATCAACAATGACAGTAATAACCAAGGAACTTGAAACTGCAGTTAAAGCAGCCAGAGGAGTGCATATGCATTTTTACTAGAAACCACATTAACAGGAGATGATGCATAGCAACCTAAGGGATCAAACAAGAGGAGTGAAGGAAACATTGGTCAGTTCTGTCGACAGTTTTATAACTAACCTGTCCAATTGTTGGCATTTTCTTTAGTCACCTCAGCACCATGTCTCAGGAGAACTCTCACTGATTCGAGGTGCCCGAGTGACACGGCCAGGTGCAAAGGGGTCCGACCTCTGGGATCCACAGCCTCAATGTCATTCTGAGAAAATCAGTGAGAAATCCACACATTTCCTGGGCACTTTTATTTGTGTAATATAATCTAGGCACCTGGTTAGACTAAAGAGAACAAAGAGCTTACTGTACTAACCTCACTTGTAACTGAGGGCATTGCAATTGTGCATCATAGTTTTACACATTTTAATTTAGCTAATTACTCAGTGATAGAGAACTGCAGTAGTCATTACACTAACAACACTGAGCAGCAGGTCTGGTCCTCATATGAGTCATGCGAATGTGTTATTGAATAGTAACAGTCAGAGCAAATTGATAGTAATTTTACTGAAACAATACACAATATTAACTGTGATGGAAAAACATCAGGTTAGAGATGCCTCTGAAAAAAGTGAACTTGTTAGATTAGTCTGGGCATGTGTGGCAGAAATGAAACTGAAGGTGACCAGGATTCTAAACAAGTAGGAGTTTTTTTATTATTATTATTGTAGCGTCCCACAGGACACAAGGAAGAAACCGTGAGTGCCGACGCATAGTCGCTTTTTTATTAACTCCACACAACCGGTTACTGTTGGCCCTAACCACGCCAAAACAACAGCCCAACAACAATAAGAAAAAGAAACAACCTGCTAACACCCTCTGTAGCTCAAATCCCCCCCACACTTCTCTCCCTCCCGCTTTCACCCCTCTTAACCCCTGAAGCTCCACACCCATCAAGGAACCATAATTTAGAACATCATAACATGCCAAGTGAAGGATCACTACATTATTATCAGATCTGTCACATCATATATTTGAGTAACCTAATGGATTGAGTTAGCAGCCCACATTACAACTGATAGCAGGGGATTAATATCAAAAGTTAACTCACAAACCTGTTGGTTCGTGATTAGATAAACATTTCAAACAATCTTTGGGACACTAAGATGCAACTGTCAACGGGACAGGCCTGCTTTAACCGGATGAGTACAGAGAGTTAACATCTCACTCCTGGCTTCATCTAGCTAGCCATGTGTAGGTTAACGATATTCAGTTTTACCCACCGGTAGTAACGTTATTTGCTCTTCCAGTTTCCTGTAATCATTCTCCCACACAGCAGAGTGCAGCGGGAACTTCACTCGGACAACTTCGCTAACGTTAGCCGTGGACATCTTCCTCTTAATGGGGCCTCTCAGTGCAGCGTTAGCCAGTAAATTTGAGTCATGGGGGAAACAGCGAATGCTACACGCTAGCTATCCCAAAATGCACGCTAAATATGATCCATACCCTTAACATCTGACAACAGTAACACTGAAACTATTCAAACAGGTGACCAACTTTTCCCCAAGCCTTCCCCTAAATAAAACTTTTGAGCAAGGAAGTGCCAGGAGTAAAGCCCAATAATGTGAGGGGTGTCCTATATTGAAAGAGATTCATAGTCTAATTCAAACTATCTAGCAGAAACGATTTGCCAAACCCATTTAAAACGGAATTTAAGTTAAACGTGATACAATCGTTTCGTTGGTCTATACGCGAAGAAACGTGATTTGTAAACAAAACATCGTCGTAAAAAAAAAAGTCAGTTCCAGTTGGGACGCAACCATTTGACATTTCCGTATGGGGTATGCGAAACATTCAATCTGAGACTAATATCTAACTGAACTTGCACTTAGATATGTTAAATAACTGAATTTTACTCAAGTTATTACAGCAGATATTAACAAAACAAACGCTGCAAATACTGTAACCAGACAGTAAATTGTCTGTTTTTCCTATAATTTCGAAATGGGATCAGCCCTTTTACACAAGGCTGACTTCAGTGGTGTAATACAATTGACTCATCGTTTTATCGTTATTTTATTTATGTGCGGAGTATGTTTAAAATATGACAGTGGATTCCAATTGATGGAAATCCGGCATGCATCGGTTGTAAAACGTACTGTTTTGTACCGGGTCATAAAGTGAATAGATCGAACTCAGCTGCAGCAGCACACGTTTACTTGGTGTTATGCCCTCAGTTTGGTTTGTCAGGCTGACTTACATGCATTTCCTGTAGACTAACCCTAACCTTAACCGGAACCACTACTTGCCTAACCCTGACCCTGACCCTAAACTTAACCTAACCCTAACCTCACCCTAACCCTAACCCATGTCGCCACCCTAAAATTCAATTTATTGCCCATGGGGACCTCAATTTAGGTCCCCATCGTGAAAGGGTCTTCATGAGTTGGTATGGAGTCAGGAAGAAGTCCCCACGTAGCAGGAAAAACACGTCCACACACACACATCGTGTCGTAGTTGGGGCTTATTTTAACTGTAGCCGTAAAAAAACATGGTCAGTATTAATATTTGCCCATCCAAGCAAAAGAGAAAATGAGGCGCTATCTCTTTTATGTTATCTGTTATTCTATTAAGTTTGTTTCCTGAAAGTCTAACCTCTGGGCGCTCTGTACCACTGAGACTAGGTTACAGTCGCACCAGCTGCCGCTTGGTATGCTCTAGTCGCGTTACAGACAGTAAAGAGTAAACGGGCATAGGCTAGTTAGCTAGTCAGGTGCTAGTCCGCTAACTTGCCGGAACGCAGCGTACTCTGGTGGTGCAGACACTGTAATGGTTGTAACGCAAAGGGCAGGCATAACGAAAAGGCTTGTAAGAGTTAAAACAAGTAGCAGAGTCGTAGTTTGGTTTGTTTTTAACTAGCTTGGTCTAGCTAACGCGGAAGGCACCCACACAGAGTAATCAATGATTATCTTAACAGACCTAATAGTCATTTGATTTTAAAAGGCAGTTCTTCCTGAGTAAAGGATGTCTAAACGCCTGCGAAACACCGAGGTCTGCGCTGATTGCAGTGTTCCAGGTAAGGAAACCACGCACACAGGGTGTAGCTGTTGGCCGTTATTTACCTACTGACGTTTGGTCTTTCAAAGTGAGCCAAAGCATTAACGGTACGCATCACTTCTGGCTTTAATCAGATTACCAGTGCTGCCCCGCGGTGCCTTCTTCTAACAGCAGTTTAGGTTTGCACTTTACTGCTGGTTTTACAGTGCAAGACGTTAACTTTGTGCTGTTTTGACAAGTCACTAGCAGCTGTCTTTTTAACTGTCTGCAGCAACTGTGTTGCTTGCCAGGGATTTTTCATGTGTATCACTGTAATTGCTCAATTGTTTTATACAAGTTTGTCACAGGTAACAAACAACATGTGTATCTGTAACATGTAGAAATGCTCAGCAGATTTATCAGACATGATCCAAGATAAGCAGGAAGCTGGTCTGTAACTTCTCAGTCAAGTCTGAAATAGAACCAGGAAGAGTCTGCATCTTGCAGAAAATGTCAGTGGGTACTGTGGACTCCTTTCTGTAGGCCACACAGGGATATTTGCAGTAAAACTTGACAAAGTGTGGCAGAACTACACTGATTTTTCTGATGAGGATTAGTGCATGAACTGAGTCTTAAAGATATGGCTTTGCCCTCCACTGATACTAATTTGCATTAGGGAAAAGAATAACAGTCTGTGTTTTTTAAAGATTGAACGAAAATGTATGTATTTGACATCTTTTACCTAAAGGTAAACATTTGTCAGACTGAATCAGTCACTGTACCATTATCAGTTTGCAGCAGACTTATTAGACAGTAATATTTCTACATTAACTACTGGAGACAATTTGGTACTTTGTCCATTATGCCATAAGACCAGTATCTGCATCATCTAACAAAGTTCTGTTTGTCCTAAATAGTGTTAGAGATGAGAGAAGATGGAATTAAGCACTTCCAGTGAAACATTGAAGCCTGAACAAGTAGTCACTGCATTGTGTCTGAGGTACTTTCAGAAGTCCCAGTTATACAGAAATGACGTGATGTTTTTCAGCAGGCACAGGAAGCAAAACAGGATGCCGAGTGAATTGACTGTATGCATTCAGTGGAGAGGATTTGTGTTCTATTTTGGCACCACAACATTTGATATCCTGCATGTGTTTAGAACGGCATTGATTTTAACCTGGTTAACCAGCAACAATAGTCCTTGTACAGTTTTGTTGTCTGTTGTACAATTTTTTAAAAAGCCACACATTAACAAGTGTGCTAAATATTCAAGATTACTTGAGTTTTACGACCTTATTTCATTTCATTGTCATTCAGACTAGTTGAGTACCCTCCCCCAGGTCTCCACAGCAGCTGGCCTAGATGGCTCCTCCATATGGCTGTTACCAGTTGTTGGGTGTGAATATTTTTAGCGTTTCAAGATGTGGTATTAAATTTAGCAGCACTTGTTGAGGAAAGGGTAAAAGAGGTATGTCAGCAGCATTCAGGTCTGGGTGGAGAGGAAGTTAGGAGGTGAGAACTGGGGACCAAGTGTGCCAGAATCTGCTGCAGCTGTTCCTCCTTCAACTCAGCTGTTGCTCAGACGCTTGCAAATCTGCACCGTCTGTCTCGTCACAGTGCCAGCCACTCAGTCTGCTTAGCACAGTTTAATGGCAGTCAGAGCATCATATAAATTTACAGTATTTTTGGTCTTAGATGTTTGTTGTCAGAAGGGTCTTGGCACAGTCGCCAGATTGCACAGCTCAGTGATGTTCATATTAGATTGTATGCTAAGTAGGGCAAGGCTAAGTAAACGTATTTATTTTCTTATCAGAGTGTGTTGTAACTTTTAAGCACACTGTCCTGATTTCTGACACAGTGCATTACCAGAATATGTATCACAAGCTTTTTTAATGGCATTTGTTTTTAAAGAGGAAGCTGCTCTGTTACTCAACAATAAGGTTGAGGAGCTCTAACCTACAGCTGCTAGTCTTCACTTCCTTTTTACATGATGCACGGCTTCATCTAAATCTGCGGTCAAAAAGGCCTTAAATGCTGGTTATGTCGACCCTTATTACAGCCCTCTGGGGTCGGCTGTTCTTTTTCTTCTTTGCTCTTTGTTATTCTGTGTCAGTCTGCATATGGTCTAAAAACCTCCTCAAGGCATCTTGTTATAATAAAAGGTTTAACAGTACTCTAACCTGAATTTCACAGTCTGTAATATTTCAGTTACATTAGCCTAAATAATACTTCCAGTGGTTTGAGCCTGGCACTTTACAGGATAAGACCAGCATCATGCTGTAATGTCTGATCTCATGAAAAGACTAAAACCAACAATTTGTTAGTGTGTGTCTTAGGACTTCCTGCTTGTCTTTCCCTGTCTGTGGTACTTAGCCCCAAACACATTTGATCTTTAAAAACACATACAAACATGTCATTTATATTCTTTATAAAAAGGCCTAGAAGTGTCATAAAACAGCAACAATTTTCAGCAAATGCTACTCAAGCAGGAGTAAACAGTGTATTTGTTAAGGACTATCAATGGATTAATACAGATTTAGTGCTCTAGTGAGTATTTCTGGCACCTGGGCAGTGTATGTGTGATTGACTGAAAAATAAAGTGCATTGTAACAAAGGAACAGTAACTTAATGATTCCTTATGACTTACTACATTCAAACTCTGTAGTTCAGAGCAATACGCTCTATCAAGCTTTTGCTATACAGTCTCATCAGTAGGATCTATTAGTAATAGGTTTTGGTTTTTTTCTTGGATTTGTGGACAATAACAAAGATGTGGAATAACATCAGCCTTAAAGGATAAGGCTATTAGCTAATGTCTATGAGCTGTCAGTCCTGATAGCTCCTTCGTCTGTGCATTAGATCTCAGTTGTTGTTAATAAACAATTAAAAGCATTTCAGGGAAACACACTTCTGCACTAGGTGACACGTTTTTTCATTGACAAACCCCAGACCCAGCTATGCTGCCCCAAAGTTTCTGTGTGAGTATAAGTTCCTGAAGTTAACAGAGTCAGAGTCAACTGCACATGTCTGAGCTCTGCTTTGTTTACATTTCGTTAGCTCCTTACGCTCAAGTCTGGGGTTTGCTATTGAAGAAATGTGTCACAACAGTGGAGGTCTATGGTACAGATAAACAAGCTGATCCAGGACTGACACACTGACGGACATTAACTGTGAGTAGAGGCAAATTAGTATTAGTTTTAATCTCTGTATGGGGAAAATACTGTTAATATAGAAAATTACTGGCCTTATCCTTTAATCTGTAAAAGCTTATCAGTAATATCAAATTAGAACAGCATAAATAAGAGATTTCTGGGTTTCAGCGTGTTGGTGAGAAAAAGAGATACCGTGGAGAGCTTTTTGTTCCTGCTTAAATAAAATGTTTAATCATCTGTGATTATTATCAAGCATCAATTAGATCACTGCAAGTGTCATTCTGAGTGGTTTTCTCTTCCATCTCAGAACCTCGATGGGCCTCAGTGAACAGGGGTGTGTTGATTTGTGATGAGTGCTGCAGTGTTCATCGAAGTCTGGGAAGGCATAGCTCCCAAGTCCGCCACCTGACACACACGCCATGGCCTCCTACGCAGCTACAGGTAAAAATCCCATACAGGAAAATGTTACATTTAGATGTGTCTGTGCTACTTATCTTTATGCTCTCTGTAGTGAAGTTGTTGGTGTAGTTCATGAGTGCTCAGAGGTTGAACTGTCTCCTGAAATGACTTGAGGTCATGTTTTCTTGCACTAAAATCAATATTAAATGCAGTTGTAAATTTAGCAGGCCTTCATCTTTGCTTAAGACAAGTCTGTTGGCCTTAAGGCGTACTG